AGGTGGCAGAGAGATTAATTCCCTGAAATGGGAAAAAATAGAAAAACACACACACACCACACACCCTAATAACACGTAATAAGAGGTTGGATACAAGGAACAATGCCCTGGTAATGTCACCCTGGCGGCAATCAATTTGGGTGTCACATGAAATAGGCATAATTATTCCACCAGCCCCGTCGCTCATCGCTAACCAGCTCCAGGGGCCCAGGCCCGGGCGGGGAAAGCGCTGTAGCATCAATTGCTGGTGCTCCAGGCTGGCAGAGGGAGCCGCTCCAGATTAGCTTGCCAGCACCAGGTTTCTCAGCCCCTGAGGGTAGGCAGGGGCTTGAGGGCCTTGCAAATGCCCAGGAGCCACCTTGCTCAGCCATCCCTCACTTGCTCAGTGGGCAAGGGAGATCAGGGAGGACTCCCCAAGGAGGTGGGAAAGAAGGAGGAGCGAACATACGTATGTTCATCATCGTTCATTCCTCAGGTCACCACACTCTTAGCACTCACTAAGGCCAAGCCCCACACCAGGTGCCAGGGGTTTATCGGGGGCTGTGCATTATTAAAATAATGAAGCAAAGTCTCCTTCTACCTCCCAAGCTAGGGCCACCCCTGCCCATCCTGTGGGTGAACACAGAGCCACTAGGATTCCTTTGGCTCTAAGTGTGCAGGGACTTAAGCTCTCCTTGCTCCTCCTTCATTCCCACTTCATTGGGGAGAACTCCCTGACTGCTCTTGCCTATCCCTGACCCGCTTGCCCAGGGTTCATACAGACAGCACCTCAACACCTGGGGAAACTGAGGTGCAAAGGGAATGATTGCTTAGTGAGCACCCATTACACACTGGCTGCTGCTGCCTATCTCAACCCCCTTTCCATACACCAGAAACTGTGAATTTCAGATATGCAAATCAAGGCCGTAATATAAGATCATTTTACACTCATTCAATCATTAAAAGTCAAGATGTCTGAGCATACCGAGTGTAGGTGCGGGTGGGGAATACTGGGGATACTCATCTCCTGCTGGGGGAAGCATAAACGGTCCAACCAATTTGGAAAACACTGTGGCACATTTCCTAGTAAAGCTGAATATGAATATGACCTACGGCAATTCCGCTCCTAGCTGTGTGCCCCAGAGACGCTCTGCCTGTTGTCTTAGGGGAAGGGACAAGAAAGTTCACCGCAGCACTGTTTGTAAGAGTAAAAAGGGAAACAACTCACATGCCCATTAATAGAAGAATAAATACACTGTTTATGTTCAAACAACAGAACATTATGCATCAGTGAAAATGAATGAACTACATTTATCATTATTTGTAACAATATAGATGAAACTTAGGCATACGGTGTTGAAGAAAAAAGGCAAATTCCAGAGGACTGCACGGTTTCATGTTCCTTTTACAAAGTTCAAAACTAACTAAAACTGAACAATTTCTCTATATTAAAATGTGATTTTTAAAAGGCAAGGGAATACTAAATAGATAATTTAGGGTAGTGGCTGCCAAAGGATGGGGTGAGAAGAAACACATGGGAAGATGCATATCATTATTAAAGTGCTAGTGTTCAGCTTAGGGAGCAGGGTCATGGTGTTCATTATATTAGTAGTCGTAGTAGTAGTAATACTAACTACATTAATTAATTAACAGACCATGCCTGGATTGGTGAGCAAGAGTTGCAGACCAGAGCTCGGGAAGAAGGCATTCTAGACTGAGCCCCATGCTTGTAAGCTGGGGTCTTTGGGCAAGTTGTTCTACCTCTCTGGCTCTCAGTTTTCTCAGCTATAAAATCAAATCTCTGTACCACCTACAAGGCTAAGATTGAGAGCACATCACTGATACAAACTATGAGTAGCCAGCAGTTCTGCAGAGTTTACTGTGTACCAGGCACTGTTCTAACTGCCTTGCATACATGAACACACTTAGTCTTCATAATGGCCCTCTGTTATCCTCACTTTACGGATAAGGAGACTGAGGTCCAAAAGATTAAGTTACTTGCCCACAGTCACAGAGCTAGGCAGTGTGGAGCTGAGATTTGAACCCAGGCATCTGGCTCCAGGTACCACACTCAACAACCTCACTATAAAATGACACTAAAGGAACTGAACACAGGAGGAGGGAACTGTTGTCAGAACAGCTCTACTGGGTCCACAGAGCCCAAGGATATTCATTCATTCATTCATTCAACACATAAATGAAGGTCAGCATCCCTCAAATGCATTTGGAAATGAACTTGCCTTCCCACTGTCTTTCTACAAAATAACCGTCGCTGATTCTGGAATCCTGCTTTCTGTGTCTCTGCCAAATCTTTTACTGCCTCAAGAGATACCCAGTCTCTCTCTCTTCCTGGAGGACCCCTGACTGCCGCAGCCCCCAGGAGCAAATCCCATCCTTCTCTGAGTACCAGTGTGTGCTACTGAATACCCTGCCTTTGCTCTCCCCAACCCCTGCCTGGGGCATCCTTGACACCACCTACCTCTGTCCATCCATTGCAGGCTGAAGACACTGTGTTCCTTCCAGGTAGTTTTTGCTACCAGAATCAGATGCTCCCTGGTGCCTCCCAGCATCTTTCCTATCCCCAAGGCCAGGCAAGGGAGCCCAGGGGATGGGTCCAGGATTGCCCCGGGTGTTCAAGGCAATCCATGGGGGCCATGGGAGGGCCTAGCCCAGAGCAGAGCAGGCAGCTCAGCCAGCATGTGTAGAATAAATGCATGAATGAATTGGCTGGTACAATATTAGGTGCAAACCAGGCACCGTAGCTGCATGGAGGAGGAGGGTGAGTGACGTGGAGCAGTCAGGGAGGCTTCCTAGAGGAGTGGCCAGGAGAAGAGAAGACCTTCTGGGTAGGTCTTCTCACAGCTAGACCAAGAGACCCCCAGCCAGCAAGACCAAGGCTCTCACTCTGAAACCACCACCACCTACAGCCTCCCCTCCCTGGCCCTTCCCTAGTCCCACAGGACCCACTTCCTCATCCCTCCACCTGACACACTGCCTCATGCCTCCATGGGACCCTGTGCAAACCACTGCACTGCTTCATCTCTCAGCAGGAATGCATTTCTCCCACCCTCCGGACCCAATCATGATCCTCTCACCATTTGCTGTGGTGGCACGTGGAGAGCAGTACCAGATGAGCCATCGCTGGTACCAGGGATCCTGTCTGGCTTTATGCTGACCAACCCTCACAAGACTCTTTTTTCTTTTCTTTTTGATATCCCCCCGGAATTCTGGGTTTTAGAAAATAATATCTAGTATAGGAAAAATGGGTGCTCCAGGGCAGGGGATAGGGGAACTGATCCCTAGGAAGAAGACTACTGCAAGGGGTAGAGTGGTCTCTACAATGCCCTCAGCCCACAAGCCATGATACCTTAGCCTTGAGCACCCACCCATCCCCCCAAACCTGGCCCCTTGGATTCGGTACCCACTCTAACTCCAGGCACTGGGGAGCACTGCAGCCTTGACCAAGCCCTACCGAAGGCCCATCTCACACATAAACTGGCAGGGAGTGGGAAAAGGGGCAGAGACAAGAATACCACAGGGGGCCCGCCCTCGCCTTTGCTAAGCCTCCCTCCAGGAGGGGCAGCTGGGTGCTGTCGGGAGCCCCTATCTGGGTTCCGAGGACTTCTTGGCCTCTCCCTTCTGTCACCTAATCCCCTGTCTCCTGCCTCAGGCCATGGGGAGAAAGCAGGAAGGGCAGGCAAGCTGTCCCAGCAGACCAGGCGCTGGCATCTTCCCAGAGGTGTAAGGACTCTGAGCCCCTCCTGGCCCACACAAGGACAAAGGGTCTGGGAGCAGCTGACCCTCCCTTCCCTCACAGCACTCCTTGCTGGATGTGCGGAAGCCCCAGGCTCTCTGCCGCCTCAATGCCCCGGCTCATTGCTCCCTGGGCATGGGAGGCACTGGTGCTGGAGCCATTGGCATAACGACCAGCAGGGCTGAGCCAGAGCCGGAGCCGCGGGCCAGGTTGGACTGCGCACCCTCCAGCTGCCCAAGCCGAGCAGAGGAGGACGGAGGGAGGGCTGGGCTGGCAGGAAAGAGGCTTGCCCAGATGGTGCTGCCCCCACCTCAGGGCTTCCTGCACTCCCACCCCACCAGGGCAGAGCTGTTGCCATCCTCCCAGATGCCCCAACTCCCCCAGCCCGACCCCAGGACCTCTGAGAACAAAGAGGAGATGCCGATGCCGGCACAACCAGGGCTGGATGGAGCTGGGCTGGGACCCAGGGCAAGAGACAGGAGGGGACCGTCCACTGGGCCTGGCCCCACCCCTCCTCAAAGTGGGATCCACCTGGAGGTGCCTGGGAGAGCAGGAAGCCCACAGCCCACCTTGCAGAGGTGGGGGGCCGAGAAGGAGACCTCTTCTTCTCAGCCGGTTCCTACCTCCCACCAGCTCTGCTTCGGAATGAAAAGTGGGGCAGGGGGAAGTGAGAAGCCTGGGCTGAAGACGAAGGGGAGGGCCCCCAATGGTTCCTGGGTCCTCCTCCACCCCAACTCCCTCTCCTCCACTCTCCTAGCCCCTATTTCCCCTTTTCTCCCCCTCACTGGGCAGGAGCTGGAAAGGGGCTGCCCCTTGTTAGGCGAGTCAGGAGGCGCCCAGCCCCGTGCCTGCATCCACCGGCTTGGGGGTGCCTGGTGCAGGCTAGGGCTGCCTGGGGGTGTCTGGGGTCTATAGAGAGAGGCAACCACCCAGTGCTGAGCAGGGGGCTTACCCTTCAGGGTGACCAGTGCTCAGAATGGGAGGTGGGACAGAGGACGAGCAGGACTGTGACCCCTCCCCAGCTCAGGGGGTCCCAGCTAGACAACCTGGAATTTGTTGGGTGGGAGGGGCGGGAAAGAAGAAACCTTCATTTCTGAGGCTTCGCTGGGCGGGGGGGCGATCAGATCTGTGACCCCCAAAGCGGGTTTGGGTGACGCTGGGGTGCCCCACAGCCCCAAGATGGGCACAGTCCGGGCCGACGGCGGCCCCCAGGGGCGCTCGCCGTGGGGCTGCCCACTCGGGGCTGGGCCGCGGCCGCCGGGCTCACCTGCATTTCGGGCGCGCTGTCCGTCCGCTCCGCTCGGTCACCAATCGCATGTCTCCCCCGCCAGGGCCCCAGCCCCTGCCCAGCCCCTGCCCAGCCCCCTCCTTCGTCTCCTCCTCCTTGTCCGACACCTCCGCCCGGCAGTCCGCTCGCCCTCGCGGGGCTAGCCGTCCGTCTGTCTGCCCCACGCGGGCAGGAGCCAAGCCGGAGCCGGGGCCGGGGCAAGGGCCAGGGAGTGGGGAGGCGGGAGGCCGGGGCCCCGGCGGGCGGAGGGGCGGGTGCGCTCAGGACTGGCGACGCGGGCTCTACGAGCCTCGTTCTGTGCCCCGGGCCAGCCTGGAGCCGCCGCCGCCGCCGCCTCTGCCACTGGGGCCGGGGTCGAGGCCGGGCGCGCTCCGCAGCGGGGCCGGGGCCAGGGCTGAGGCCGGCGGGCAGCGGCCGCGCATGCTGCTCGGAGCCCCGCGTCGGGAGAGGAGCCGGAGCGGCGCGGGTGGGGACTCCGCGCGCTCCGGGGCCGGGGCCGGGACCGGGACCCGCCGCCGCCGCCTGTGCTGTCGCCGGCCGGCCGCCCGCTCCGGCTCCCGCGCCGACTCCCGCCCGGGCTCCGCGCTCTGCCGCGGCGCGGGGAGGGAGCGCGAGGAGCGAGCCAGGGAGGGAGGAGGGAGGGAGCGAGAGAGCGAGCGAGCTAGCGGCGGGAGCCGGGCGGGGGAGGAGAAGGCGCGGCCGCAAAACCGAGGGTGGGGGGGGGGGGAAGTAAGGTGGAGGACTCAGCTCCTTTCAGCGAAGGGGGCGGAGAGGGAGGAGCGCCCCAACCACCGCCCTGCACTGATGGGGCAGCGAAACTGACAAAGGGGAGCGGGCTAGGGGCGTGCCAGCCTTGCGCGGGGGCCGGAGCCTCTGAGCTCCAGCCCCGCACACGACCGCGCTCCTCCGAGTCCCAGGCCAGCGCGGCCGCGGGGAGTCCGGTCTGCGGTCCTCCCTGGGGCTGTGTGCCCACCCTCGCGTGTGGCCACTTGCGTGCACATGTGAGCGCGTGTGTTCACACGTGTTAACTGGGGTCATTGCACACTGCCATGTGGACCGACACACGCACGTGAACCGGCAAGGCTCCCCACCGACCAGGGTTGTTTGGAGGACGGCGTGGGAAGGGTGAGGCCTGGAGCCGCGGTCAAGCGCCTTGTCCCCTCTTCTCGGAATTGTCTGCGAATCCCTGGAGGGCCCACATCCTGGCGGCCTTGGAGCTTGGCAGGTAGAGAGGGAAGCTCCGGGGCACGCCGAAGAAGGCGCGCCAGCCCCGCGGCTCTACCCCAAGCGTGGTCTTGCGCCCTCTTTTGCAGCCTGGGTCCCCGCCCAGCCTGGCTTCCTGTCCAGCAGAGGGCAGCAGGCCGCTCTGGCCAGCTCTGGCCGCGGGCACTGCACCCAGAGACCAGCAGAGGGCAACGCAGAGCCTCCGGACTCGGCTCCCCAAGGGTCCAGGGGATCCTGAGTTGAGGCCATACTCAGATAGGCCCAAGGAATGGGACCTCTCCTCAGATCCACATCCTCCTTGACCTGCAGATACAGAGATTCGGCTGGTGGAGGTCTCTTGGCAAAGCCTGCAGAGTGGGCTACGACCCTTGGGACCTCACCTCCTTCCACTGTACACCCCCTTCCATCTCCTTGAAGCCAGATGCCCTTTAACACTAAGCTAGTTTGATTAGAATAACCATCAACGCTGACACCACCCAGCATGCCCGCCCCTTCTCCACTGTTGGGAGTGCATCACATGAGCACATTAGGGGTAGGGGTCCCGGCAGGCAGAAAAGGAAACTGAGGCTGGGGGGCACAGACGTGGGGGAGGAGACTTGCCCAAAGCCCTTCAGTCTCTGGGGAAGAAATGGGGAATCCTGCTCCCAGTGCCCTGACCCCCATGGAGCCTGTCTGACATTCACTGCAGTTACCTGGCTAGCATGGTGGGGCCGCCAGTTCCCTCCTCACCCCCGCCCCAGCACCATCTTACTTCTCCACTGTTCAGCCTCACATACAGCCCAAAGAGTCGCACAGACCTTCTGTTCTAGCTCGACAGAGTTTGCATACTTCTCAGTCTCACAGCCACACCACAGCTCTGAACAGTCATGCCTGGAGAACCATCTCCTGTCTCCTATGTCCATCCTCATCCTAGGCCTAGCTGGAGCCCCCTCCTAGTAAGTGAGGATGCTGTGCTGTGCACTCTACATTCATCCTCCAGCGACCCTGGGAGAAGGCACTGTTGCTCCCCCTGTGACAGAGAGAAGGAACGCCAGGCTCAGAGAGGTTCTGTGATTTCCCTGTGGTTAAACAGCTAGTAAAGCCTGGAAAGGGAATTTGAATCGCCTTCCAGGGCCAATTCCAGCAGGGGGCAGGCTTGGCAGAGGGACTTATAAAAGCTGGGAGGGGAAGAGAGAAGGCGACACAGGAGTCCCCTTCGCTTCAATAGCCCAGCGCAGGCGGTTCCCCGGCCCCTCAACCCTGTGCCGCCTGGACCCCCATCCCAGGCTGCCCAGCTCCCCCACCCCGGCTGTTTGTGAGTTACCCGTGAGCTCCCTCCCTCCCGCGCCGCCTCCTCCCACCAGCCAGACAGGAATAGACGCTCTCTCGCTCCTGCGTAAAGGCTCCGCCAGGCACCCGGCGGGCGAGCAGACCCGCTGCGGGGCGGCGGCGGGGGCGGGGGCTATTCCTGGTGCGGCGGCTGACGCAGACACTGCACGGCCACGGCGTATCTCCGCCCCCGACTCACCTGCTCCCTGCCTCAGTGATCTCGACGGAGAAATGGGGGAGAGCCCACTGCTCCCACCCCCAACCCCCAGATGCTGGCTGAGGAAGTTGGCGTCCTGAGGTGAGGTCTTCTGGGACCCACAATTGTCCCTCTGCACCTTGGAGGCAGCAGGGATGACCAAAGAGCTGTGTGTCTGGGAGAAATTGCCCCAGAGTCTTAGTTCTCCATGTGAACAGTATCCAAGCCATTTCCCCTTCCGTTTCTCTAAAAGAAATGACCCCTCCCAGCATTCCCTGTCTTATTTCACCAATGGGAACAATGGGGAAGGGAAGGCTTCGGGGAGGGAAGAATTTGGAGAAAAGGTCTTTTTGAGGGTCCAGCCTGGGCCTGGTGAGAGTGCAGGTCCCTGGCCTTGTCACCAGAGACCCCATGAAAGGGGGAGGGTGTCACTGGGGACAGGTATCTTTCCACTCCTGTCTGGCGGGGCGGTCCCCAACACAGCCCTCTCGGGGATCCCAGGGCCATGAAGAGTATGGAACATCAGAATGGCCCAGTCCAAGATTTCACTGGCACAACCTGGAGATCATAACCCTGGAGCTTCAGCTGAAGAATGTTCACCCACACCTCCAGGCCTTTATCCTTACTGGTCCACCTGCTCGGCCTGTCCTCTCCCTGGTTCCCACCTGTGCTTCAAGACCAAACTAAGACCATTTGCATCTATTCCTGTCTCTCCTCCTCAGGCTGAAATGCCCTTAGAGGCAAGGGCCCAGTCTCCTCCCTCTCTGTCCTCAGACTAGGAGCTCCCAAGAGCAGGCCTGAGACAGCATGTTCCTGGCTTCAGGGTGAAAACTCAGCAAGTCCCAGTGAAGCGGGAATTAGTGGCTGCAAGGAGTCAGTCTGCTACAGCCTGAGTGCTCACAACAAAGCAGAGAAGCTGGGAATGGGTTTGTCAGGGGACTGTGGAGGAGGGGCAGGACCCTCCAACATTCATTTGGCTCCTACTGTAAGCCAGGGTCTAAGCTATACTTTACATACTTCATCCCAATTCAAGATTGAGATTGCTATCTCCATTGTACAGATGAAAAAACTGAGGCTCTGGGAGGGCTGGTGACTTGCTCAAGTTTACTCTGTGAAAGAGGTAGAGCTGGGCTTAGAAGCTCTGTGTGTGTCTCGTATCAGAGCACAAGCCCTGCTCTCCCCCACTGTGGGAGACTGAGGAGGCAGGGCCTAGTCCCCTGTGGCACAGGAAGGAATGGGTGGCACACACAGGCCTGCATGCATGCCTGCTTTGTGCTGGTCCTGCCCGCTTGCATCCCAGCAGTTCTCAGGGTTTTACAGTGATGATTATTTCTGAAGGCACTTGAAATTAATGACAGCTCTAAAATGGCTGGGACAGTGGAGTCATTACTGAGACCTCTAATTAGCAAGAAAAACGGAGACCTGGAGCCAGGGAGGCAGGTGGGGGCTGGGCAAGTGGCCCTGGGCGTGGAGCAGGGCTGGGGAAGTGGGTTGGAGCTGGCATCCAGCTGGAGGTCTCTGTGGGGCAGGTGGAACCCATGTCCCACTTTATGCCACACATTTGATTCTGAGCACTCATTCATTTGCTGTGTCATCTTGGGGGGAGTCACTGCCCCCCCCCGGGTGAAAGTTTCCCCAGTTACACAGTAAGGAGTTGGCCTGGGGGGTCTCTAAGTTCAGGGTTCTATGGGGAGAATAGGATGAAGCCGCAAGAGGGGGCTCTTTGAAAGACCCTGAGTCCCTAGAAGGCTGAAGCCCAGAAGCTGGAGGTCCTATAGCCTCCGGGAGCCACTGAAGAAGCCCTGCATAGCTCTCACAGCCCTCCATGTTGGGGATGCTGAGGCTGCTGGTATAATAAAGTCCTAAAGACTCAGGCTGGAGTGAAGTGGATCAGGAAGTGGCAGAAAATCCATAGGTCAGAGCCCCGTGCTGGTGCAGCTATGGAGGGGGCAAGGGATGGGGGGACACCTGAGGGGGCCGGCAGGAAAGTCCCCTCTAGGAGGTAGGCCTGGAGCTGTGGCCAGGCTTAAGGCCTTCCTGCTCCCTCTGAAGTCCTTCCCTAAGAGCCAGAAGGGACTCAGGGACTCCAGGGTCCCACCTAGGCATGTTACAGAGGGTCTGCCTGAGGTACCTAAAAGGGAAAGGACTTACTCAAGGTCATTTGTCCAGGTGCACCCTAGCTCTTGGTCTGCCACATCCTTCATGGGGCAGCTGGCACAGGGAGGGGCGCCGGGGGTCAGCTGAAGGAGACCTATTTGCACCAGTGGCTGGCCCAGCTGGATGTGGAGATGTGCTGGTTGACATGGAGGGACACCCACTGTGGGTACAGGCTGAGGCCAAGACTCTAAGGGCAGGGGTGTGAAGAGCCCACCCTCACTTCCTTGGGGCATCCTCTTCCCTGGCAGCCCCCACTTCAGCCACGTCTTATTTATCATTAACAGCTTTAAGACCCTAGACCCACTTCC